TATTCGGTCTTCAAGTCTGCATCGCAACTGGCATTTGTTTGTCAGTTTCGCTTTGTTAACACTAGCACGTTATCCTGCACTGATTTTACCTTATCGGTAGTTGTAAGGCAGTCTACTTCCAGCAAACTATCCAGTTTAAGAACTGATGCAGTTTTCAGCGCACTTGGCACTTCCGCAGTCATATCTGTTACGGTGATGCCGGTTTCCAGTGCTGATAAACTATGTGTGCTAGATGAAACATCTTTGGATAATAATAATAATAATAATAATAATAATAATAATAATAATAGTAATAATAATAATAATACTTATTGTTCCAAAAGTATGGAAAAGCCATATGCACATATGCCCGAGCGCAGATGCATAAATTACTAATTTGATTTATGTATTAGTTAAAGAGGAAAAAAAAATCGTTCTTTTTTGCGCTTTCTTTTTTTCATTTCGCATCAGATTTATTAAAATTGGAAATTTTAACGATTTGAAGAAAAGAGAAGAGAGAGGTAAAATACTTACTAAAAAATAATTTTGCATTATTAAGATATAAAAATAATCATTTATAAGTAAATTGTCATTTAATTTTAGATTTTACTTTCATTTACAATTTATTTTTCCACAACTAACAATATATGAATTTCAATTTATTAAAATTTTTGTTCCTTTGTTTTCTCTTATTTGAAATTTAATAAATTATCCATCATTGCGTTTTTTCTTTTTTTTTATTATCTTACATTTACATTCTAAAGGTCTAATTTGCAATCAGAAAGGAATAAAATGTGATGGATTTTCACTGGATTATTTTATCGTCCTATTTCATGCAACATCGTTTCCGTTCCGCAGGTTTCCATCGTTACCGTTCCGCATTCTTTGTATTGAGAATGTTTAGTTATTAAGTTACTAAAACTTGAATGTATTAAAACATCGACGAATTCTTCCTTAATCTTCTATATTTTATGCATATATCATTCTGTAAGTAATCATTTCTTCTATTGGGAATGCTCAATTACTGAATGAAAATTTATTAAATACTTTGACAGATTTAGATTCCTTAGTTCTATTTCATCTTGTATTATTCCGCAGATAATATTCTTCAATTGTTGAGTAAAAATTTATTGAAACAATTGGTTTTTTTTTTTTTTTTGCACAATAATGCTCGGCAAAGATCAAAAGAAAGTAGTTGACAAAAAAAAAAGAGGAAAGGAAAGTTTAATCCAATCTTTCTCATTACGGTTCATAGCACATTTAATACAAAACCACAAATGGCGGTATTGATTTGATGACTAAAACTTTTTTAAGTCATACTCATATATGAAACAGTATTATCGTAAAAAAAAAAGAAACCCATTATTTGTTTTCTGATTGATCGCTTATATTCGTAAAGTATAAATGACAAATTATAAAGCAATTTTTAGATATTTCTGATAACCTTTGTCCAATAGGTTAAAGGTGATAGGAAAAATCCTACCTCCTGCTTGAACAAAAATGCGGACAATATCCTACCTTTTTTTAATTTTGTTAAAATGACATTCAAATTCGGTATGGATAAGTTTTGATACAAGTAATAGTTTCCCATATGACAAAATGCTGCCATTGATAAAGCAGTCAGAATTGATAAAGGAAAATGATTAGCTTTTTAGTTTGATAAAGTTCAATCATCATTTCCTTCTTTAAACGCATAATAAATAAATAAATACTGACATCATTATTCCATCCATAATTCACAAAATCTATGCTGAATTTAGCCAAAGCTTAAAAAATAAAAGTTAGGAAGGGAAGGATTAAACCTAAAGCAAAATAGTTCAAGTACGATAAGTATCACTTCACACTTTCCGGACTTTTTTTTTCTTTTATAATCAATTACCATTCCTAACAAAATGATTATTAATCTGCTCCATCCACAGTAAGTCATAGAAATAGTAATTATATTTTACTAAAATGACATTAAGAGTGACAACAAATAAGATTGAAATTTAAAAACAATCCACATATTTAAAGCGGCGAAATCATCATCAATATAAAATCAAACAGTTCAGTGTTAGCAGCTATAAATTTTGCATTTCCAATGTAAAAGAGTAGTAAAAATATAGTATTAAATTTTTTATTCTGCATTGTTCTATTAAGCTTACTTTATTCAAAGCAAATTAAACTTACAAAGCAAATTAAACAGATAAGCAATACAATGCAAAAATGAAATACTACTTTGTTAAATTTTGAGAGAATGCAATGATGTAAGACATTTTAACAAGAGTTAGATGAATTGCATTCCATTTTTGATTTCAGCAAATCAGCCAGCCAGTAAATTGCAATGCCTTCTTCACTTTTTTTAAAATATTCCCAAAATATCTATCATTTTATAATTAAATCATTCTTATTTTTATGCATGAAGAAAGTGATAGTTCACAATCATATCACATTTATTCACTAGTGTATTATAAAAATTTAACAACGAATTATGGCTGAACACTGCTGATAATATTAATAAATTCTTGAAACATGAAAAAAGAAAAACAGACGAATCGCACGGAATTGGTAATGTCTAAACTCTAAGTTACTGAAATTACTGTTCTGGAAGGAATACATACATTCCTACTCATTTTACGATTTGCTTATTTAAAGTTTAACAATGTCTCATTTTTCAGTTCTTTTGGTTATGACTTCAAAAAAGACAAATTCACTTTGAACAAACGTAATTTACAGTTTGTTAAATTTATTGGACGATAAATGAAGAAATGTAGCTGGAATTTAAAAGCTTGGTATTAATTCGC